AAGGATTCTAGCTTATACTTTTTGTCTTTTATGAGCAACATTTTTCAGTAAAAAATGCTGAGAAAGAGCTTTGTGTTACCAGAATTTATTATATTGGCAGGTACCACTTTATATGGCAATCTGTTATGGTGCAGTTCAAGTCTGCACACATGGGATCGCCATGAGTCTGAATCAGCAACTAACAACAACTTATTTACAATACTGTATTTTCTACCTCTCTTAAAACTCTAGATCTTAAACTCTGAAGACACTATGCTAAGTCAAACAAAAAAGGACTGATATTATATATAATTCTACTTCTATGAACTATCTGGAATAGACAAATGTATGAAGACTCAAAAGAGATGAGCAGTTGCCAGGGGATAGGAGGAGAAGGAGTGGGAGTGCTTGCTTAATAGTTGTAGAGTTTCTGCATAGGGTGATGAAAATATTTTGGGAACAGTAGTGATGGTGGTACACCATTGTGAATGTAATTCATGACAAGGAATTATACACTTCAGAAGTTAAAATAGCAAATTTTTAATATATTTTACTACAGTAAAAAATTTTTAATCTGAATCTTTTTTTTTTAAATCTGAATCTTGATGCAGTGATAAGATAAATGAGTTGTCTTGATTAGCATGTATGATGGGAGGTTTCAAAAAGTTCGTGCAGAAATTCCATTGTCTTTCCTTCCAACAACATTCTTTAAAAAGATAGAAAAAATGATCATGAACTTTATATGGAAACGAAAGAGACCTCAGATAAACAAAACTGCTTAAGAAGAACAACAAAGTTGGAGGTCTCTTACTCCCTGATATAAAATTTTATTCCACAGCCACAGTGGTCAAAATAGCCTGGTACTGGTACAATGAAAGATACATAGATCAATGGAACAAAAATGAGAACCCAGAGGTAAATCCATCCACAGTCAACTGATCTTTGACAAAAGGCCAAATGCATTAAATGGGGAAAGTCTCTTCAACAAATGGTGCTGGCAAAATTGGAAATCAGTTTACAAAAGAATGAAACAAGACCCATACAAAAACTAACTCATCATGGATTAAAGACCTAAATGTAAAACCCAGAACTATGAAGATCATCAGTGAAAAAATAGGGACAAACTTAGGGATTCTATATATGGCATAACAGACTATCAAACATTGCAAAAATTCGCAGATGAGAGAAGACAAAATAGATGACTGGGACATACTAAAAATTAGAAACTATATGCATCAAAAGATTTTACCAAAAGAATAAAAAGGGAGCCCACATTTTGGGAAATATTCTTTACAGTGACATATCAAACAAGGGACTAATCTCTAAAATTTATAGGAAACTGCAACACCTCTATAAGAAAAAGACAAATAACCCAATTAAAAAATGGGCACAGGACATGAACAGACACTTCACCAAGGAAGGCATTCAGGCAGCCAACAAACATATGAATAAATATTCATGATCATTAGCCATTAGAGAGATGCAACTCAAACAGCAATGAGCTATTATCTCACAGCATTAACAGCAAAGTTCAAAAAGACAGAAAACAAAAAATGCTGTTGAGAGTGTGGCGAGACCTAAATTGCTGGTGGGACTGTACAATGGTTCAACCACTCTGGAAAATGGTATGGCACTTTCTCAGAAAAGTGGAAAAAGAAATACTTTATGATCCAGCAATTCCTCTACTTAGTATAGATCCACAAGAAATATGAGTCACAAAACGAGTAGATATATACACACCAATGTTCACTGTAACACTATTCACAATAGCAAAAAGATGGAGATAGCCTAAGTGCCCATCAATGGAAAATGGATAAACAAACTTTGGTACAATGGAATACTATGCAATCTTGAAGAATAACGAATTTGCAAAACACCTCATAACATGGAAGAACCTTGAGAATATTATGCTGAGTGAAATTAGTCAATCATAAAAGGATTAATATTGCATGATACCATTATTGTAAAAACTTAAGAAAAGATATCCATATTAAAAGAATAATTATTTGATGGTTACCAGGGATGGAGGGAAGGGAGAGTAATTCATAGGATAGGGGTAGGCACATGATAGCTTGGGTGATGGGGAGGGCAGTATAAAAGGAGGGGATGGCCATACACAAGAAGGAGAATGGTGGTAGATGAAAAATGCATGGGCTAAATGGGGCAGAGGTAAATAGTGATGAATGTACAACTTTGGAACAACAGGGCTCTGTGATACAGGAATTGAGAACAGTCTGAAGGGGAAAAGATGTTCAGGACTTGACTCTCTTGTGGATATTGGTTTCCCCCACCTACAATTGTAAAAATAGTCATTTAAGTGGGCTGAAATGAATATTGGGCATTATGATTATAAAAAGCTTGTAAGCCCATCTTCTGCCTATAACTGATTAGATTAACTAAAAGCAGAATTAGAATTTGCCAAGGGAAATAGCCTTGTTAAGCTTTTGTGGAGTTTGGGACTTTAGGTGGAATCCTGAGCCCCACCCAGAACCTTCTGTGGTGGGACTTCCCACTTGGAAAGACATGCAGAGCAAACTGGAACAGCTAGAAGAACAGAAAATACTTTTTATTTTTCTTGAAGTCATCTATGTTGTTGTTGTGAAATGCCATCGAGTCGGTTCTGACCCTTAGCAACCTTGTATAGTAGGGTTTCCAAGGAGCAGCTGGTGAACTTGAACTGCCGACCTTGCAGTTCAAACAGCTTTGCAGTCTGGCACTTTAACCCACAGCGCCACACAAGGACTTCATCCATACTTACCATTTATTTAGTCCTCTTATATGGAACAAAAGGTAAAGAATTCACAAATACCACCATCAAAGCGTGTGTTTCAAATTAACATCTGACTTCAGTTTTCAAAAACAATTTCTTTACAATTCAGCAAACAGCAGCAGAAGCTACATTTCTGTTGACTCTTCAGAGAAGTCACATGATGACTGATCATAGAGGCTCCTCTGTTGATTTTGAGAGGTAGAACAGAAAAAGAAAAGTGGCTTTTTCCTTTCCAAATCCTGGAAGTAAACTGTAGAGAAGAGAGATCCATATCTGAAGAGCAGGGAAAGTAGCTGGCTTAAAGAAACCTGTTTCATGAGACAACAGAAAAATGTTGACCACATTCTGAGTTCAGAATTTTGTTTTCTTTGAGATGAAGAAAATATAAAAGCACCTAAAGATCAAGGAAAATGTTCTTATGAAGAATTCCTATAGCCCATCAGATACACTTAACTGCCCAAGCCGACTGTTCCTGGCACCAAGGCTGGCTCTCCAAGTCATGCCTTACTCCACCATCTTTTTTCCTTCTCTAGAAAATACTTTTTGAAAGACGGACCAGCAGAAAAAAAGCAGACTCTTTAGAGGTTAGATTATTAAGCAAGCTGTTGTCTTAAAGCCATTGAGGCAAGAAAAGTCAGCCCATCAGGGAAAACCCCCTTCTAAGACTGAAACTCAAAGGGAACTCATGAGCAGTTTAGAATGCTCGCTGGTGACTACCCTGGTCTACTTGTGAGTGGAAATGGGGGAAATGCCACAATGAAGACATGGACTAAGTTTGGTCATGTTCCGTTGACTTTGAGATGAGAGTGAGAAGAGGACGTGCTGGTTGGTCTGAAGTTTAGGGAGATGTGTGAATTCCCAAGCCCATGGACACTAACCTAGCCACTGGGAGCTAGAGCTAAGAGTGAAGCGGCCAGCTGGTCTGAAGAGTGGGGAGGTGTGTGAAAATTCCCAACTTGCAAATAGTATCCATTTGGCTTAGCTTGTATGGCTAGCTGACCAGAACTTGACCAGATGGAGATAAACAAGTTTGATACTGTGAGCAAGTGTAAATTGCTACAATTTGATTAATGGGACCTTTGCTTATGGATGCAGTTGTTCAAAATTTCAACGGAAATGGATGGATTATTCTTATCAAGGATCAAGCTTATTTCTTCAGTGTACTGGTTGATTAAGGGATGGTTGGTCTAGACATTGATAATCAAAAATGTGGGGCTATAAAGACATGAGGAGTCCTGGTATGGTGCTGTGGGTTGATGCCAGACTGCAAAGCTGTTTGAACTGCAAGGTTGGTGATTCAAATTCACTAACTGCTACTCGGAAACCCTATGCAGGGTCGCTATGGGTCAGAACCAACATGACAGCACCTAACAACAACAACAGCAACATAATGACACGAAGTGTCTGGCTTACAAACTTTCATGAATGTGTTTAGTTTCAGAATAAGGGGCATAAGGTAGAATCCCCACTGAATAGTTTTCCTCTTTTCCAGAGGGATCTGGTGAAAGGGAATGGAGGATGAGATCCTACTGAGAAAATCCATGACAGCAGAGACAGTGGCAAAGGCGATGGCATAGAGATCAAGGACTCTAGTCCCTTGGACTAGACGAGACTGACTTGCAAAATGAACATATATATATATGTTTTGTGTGTGTATATATATAAAAAACAATCATTATCTTTTAATTACATTTTTTCCATTAACTTATTTAAGCCCCTCATACATTAGAGTCATCTTTTAAAAAATAATAGGTTACCATCTGTCATTCTGCTCCATATCTTTTTTTCCCCCCTCATGAGCCTTTTAAAACCAGAATGACTAATATGACTCTGAGTGTGTGCCCCAGAGCAACTCCATGTCAGCTGGTCACTAGTTATGGATGACTCACATAAGTGTACTCTGGTAGTGTAGTGGTTACGAGTTGGGCTGCTAATCTCAAGGTCAGCGGTTCGAAACTACCAGTGGTTCTGCGGGAGAAAGAGGAAGCTTTCTGCTTCCATAAAGATTTACAGCCTCAGAAACCCTATACAGGGTTGTTATGAGTCGGAACTGACACCACAGCACATAAATGTGGAGCTTGGGCTCTCAGTAGACTTTAACTAGGCTATTGCTTTACAGAGTCCGTTGTATTTGTTCACATTGTGGCCATAGGCTCCCTTTGAGAAAATAAGGCTAGCTGACCAGACTTCTGCCTCTTAGACACTTAGTGCTGTACTAGATTTGAACTGTGGCTATCTTCCTCTGTTGCAGGTGAATTTGGAAGGCAGAGCCAATCCTCTGTCACTCCTGCAGATGGCTTCTCCAAATGGCTTCTGTGTCTTGGTTCGCCTACCCAGGCTGATCCATGGAGGAAAAACATTACCAAGAACCTTACTGGACATCTTGGCAGATGAAACCATTTTAAAAGTTGGAGTGGGAAGTTCAGAAGATGCCAGCAAACTCCTCCAGGATTATGGCCTCATTGTTAAGGGATGCCTGGACCTCCGATACCTAGCCATGAGGCAGAGGTACAGGTTGTAAATGTGCTGGGATATCTGTAGCTATGGGGCAAATATTTTAGCAAGATTTGCAGATTGCTAATTCCATTTTTCCATTAATGAAATAGCTGAAATTATTTGAAAGCTTTGAGATTTTTGAGATGCTAAACATTTTTGAGATGCTCAAATATTGGGATTGTAAGGAAATTCCAACTTCTGAGAAAACTTTAGTTATCTAGAACTTATCTTTTTTAGATGAAATATTGATAAGGTATCTCTTAAAGCTGCAGGTTATAAACAGACTAAATTGGGGTTGCAGACAGGGTGTTTGGCCTATATGATACATCTTTAAAATTTTTATTTTAAATTCTGTATATTTAATGTAAAATCTGCATTTCTGATTTCTCTTTAAAAATTAAATGATCTGGCTACATTGGGCCCACTATCCTAAAGAACAATTGTCTGGATATACAGGTTCTCACTTACCATAATAACATGAACCAAAACTGCCTCTCTCCATGTTCCCAGTGATACACTAAAGGTAGAAGGCAGGGTTTATGAAAATGTTGCTTCTTATAATTTTTATTTACTATAAAATAAAATGTTAGTATATTAAAATAAAGTGATTGGAAATGAAATATAATTATTTTTGAGCAATACATTGAAACACTACTATAAAATTTTGAACACTCTAAAAGTATTTGAGGTATAAAAGCAAAAGCCTCCTTTTGCCCTTTCACAGCACCTCCCTGATCTGCTTCTGTTACTTTATGCTGTTGAAGGCAGTGTGCATAGTGACTTAGAGTCAGTTCTGGAATAGACTGTCTGGAGGGGAGTACAAGTGCTGGCTGTGTTACTGAACTTTGATATTCCTCAGTTTTCTTGTCTGTAAAATATAAATAATGATGTTCACTCTTTATGGGATTAGTGTAAAGATTAAGCGAGTTAAAATATATAAATAATTTAGAAACAGTGTTTGGCATATATAGAGAGACTACTGTGTAAGCTTCTATTGTTGATAAACATCAGTGGTTATGAATACGACAACCACCATCATCCTTATCATCACCACAACCACCTTTAATACCATCATCATCTGATTGGCTTGTCCTTCCAGACATTTTTCTTATGTATTTACAGTCATCTCTATGACTATACAGAAATCAAAGTACACAATAAACTGACATTTTATTAAAATCTAAAAAATTATTCTTAAGTTATTATTAACCATCTCAGTAGTAACATTTAAAAAAAATTTTCATTATAAGTACAGAAACTTGGATAAGTAGTTATTGCTTTCAATGTACTTTGGAAGATGTAAAATGCTTTTTGGTAATGCTGTCTTCTTATCTTAATGCTCATATTTTAAATGATCTAATCAAGCATTAGTTATTATAGAGATTTTGTGCCTGATTTTGGTCTTAGTGAAATTTTGAAGTAGAAAAGCTAGCACTTTTTTTTTTCATTCTTTTTTTTTTTAAGTTTTTATTGTGAATTGAGTGAAAGTTTACAAGGCAGATTATCAGTTTTACATTCAATAAATCATATACTTTGTTTTATTACAATGATTATAATCCCCTCCATGTGCCATCAGTTAACAGTATTTTTTTCTATATATTCATTTTAGCTCTATTTTTTTAAACACTCAGGCATATATAATAATTTACACCACCAAAGGGCACATTCTGCAAATCTGCCTCTTGATTGCCAGCTCTCAGTCCCTCTTGTCCCAGGACTCTAGAGTCCTCAGCTGCCCCCTCTCTCCATGTTCCCATCTCTGCTTCCATCTCTGGAGTCGCTGCTTCTCTGGATAAGGTACTGCATTCCACTTGTGCTCTTCTCCCTTGATGGTCCTAGGGTCCTTTGTTTCTGGGTTTTTGTTTTTTTTTAATGTTTTATTGTGAATTATATGATAGTTTATATGGGAGAACTTTAGTTTTACATTCATTCCATCGTATATCATCTCACTGCCATGGTTCCAATCCCCTCCATGCATCATCAGCCACCCAA